AACAGCACAACACAGCTTGCCACATAGAATCTTTTGTTTAAATCGATCTATGGAAATAAAGAAGATGAAGTTACGGATGGTACAACCCTAAGTATTCAAGGTATCAACGAGCAGTAGCGGCACTAAACACGGACCCACTAAATGCTAACATCAGACAGGCCACTGATGACTAGGTAAATTTCCAACTGCCCCATAACCGTAGGGAGTAACTTTTTTGCTTAAAGTACCCAACTGTCAACACCGAACGCGAACCTACCCAAGTTCAGCCCAGAAATCTAAGCTCATAAGCACAGTCGGATTCTACGAAAAAGCATTGGACAATGTTGTCTTGACACTATATGACGGACGCCGAGATAAGTCGAGTAGTTGATCTTAATGAGTTTTTTCGTCTCCAAAGTAGTATGTTTTAATAGCCGAGATGTAAACTAATGACCCATGATAGTTTGTCTTCATGAAGTTATTTTAAGAGGACGAGGTCAAAGAGAATACTGAATTAGAAAGCCAAACCCAACACAAACATCCTAATGAATTGAATAAAAGCACATTTGAAGATTGAATCTCCAGAACCAGATTACTAGGTAAGCCAAAGATACTGAACAGATCAGAAGCAAATAGCCTCTGTTGCGTTGCTGAATGTTTTAATAGTGTTCACTTTATTGTCTCTGTTACACTTCACAGTAGTATGTACTGGCCCCGCTTCGGTTAGTTGCAGCCTGCTGGAGGCTTGCTAGTTCAGGCACTAAATCGGTTACACCGGCAGCAGCTGTTATCGGAGTATATTCGAAACTGCGAACGACACCAGCAGGTAGAGGTGAAGAGACATGGTGGTGATTCGGGTTGAAACGAGAACTGAAGGTCTGCAGTTGCTGAAATGCGAATATTGTAAGCCACTGAAGTAATTAAACGTGAATCAAGGCAAGATCGTTTGCGGACTGTTCTAGTTGACGAATTGTCCACCGCGTGACTGACTTTCTCGCTCATCGTATTGCATTTCTGAACATGCGTGCTTTTGGAGCTCTGCTGGTTCCAGCGCAGCAAAGAATTTCGGTAGCGGATATTACTATCTTCTGTGGTGGCCCTTCTACGGATTTTTTCGGGTGCGCGCCATGAGAAGCTATGACTTTGCGTGCTCACATGAGATTAAAAATCAATCGTCCATTGACGAGCACTGTTGACCGGTTCTAGAAGATAACGGTTCAGAAGTTGATCATGGATATGCGTAATAAGTACTGTAACTGAAATATACACTACACTAATTCATAACACACAGTGTTTATCCTTTCTGTAACATTTTGCAAAGTGACAATAATCGATGATGGCGTCACAGTGATTTCGAACAGTGACAAACCTTGTTGTGGGACATTTTGACCAACTTTATGCGAACACAGCAACAGATAAGGATTCTTCACATCACTTCATAGAGGAAAGCACATTTGGTACATCAAAATTACTTTACCATCTTTATTCCTCTGTCGAAGAGAATTGGATTTTTCAACGACTTTCTGCGTCAGCAGATCACCAGCAGTTGACTTAATTTCATATAAAAGCGCCTGGTTTCACACTAATTCCTGTATGATTATTGCATTAATTTCATCGAGGTCCATCGAGTTTTGTGAAAGCATCACTCGTTAACGTCAAGTGCTTGAAGTAAGGCAGTCACTTTTGGTTGCAGATTGTCTTTTCGCCTATCTTTTATCAGTATCAGGTAAACACTGGTAGAGCCGTACCTCCGAAGAGGCACACTTAAGCGAGTGCGCATGGGTCCATTATTTGTTCACAGATGTGGTCGCCGGACTAAATAACAAAAGATTATACATTCTCATTGGCTTCTTCTACACAGTTTCCCTCCAGTCTAACTGCAATTATTCTGGTAAACGTCTAGGGAAAGAAAACATATTGGAACCGAGCCACCGAGTCACCAGAGCCACTCAGTAATGCATGTTCTTGATTCATGCGGGGATTGGAATCCCTAACGTCCAACATTCAGGTTGAGTACATTAGTGACACAACCAGATTACTCTGAGCTTACCTGAGGCATCACACGTCTGAGAGATGTAATTGATCGGCCCAATGACATGAATGGCTACCCAGTTGTTTATTAGAAATTTTGCCGTCATTGAAGCCATTCAATGGAGAAAACTCGAGAAGCTCCGTACAGTTACTTCAACTTTGTTGGGAACGAATAACAGTGCAACTGACGACACTAGAGAGTTTTGAAGCCGCGACCTTCCGACCTGTGGCTGAAAACTTAACTTTTTGGCCACGTTCTTCTGACCAGCCATGTGATCAGCTCTTACTGTCCCACCTGTGTCAGTCGTTTAACCCGTATCCAACAGCTGACAAAAATTGCTCGGTGGGCTTCAAGCAATTGTAGTGCTACCTGATTAGAAAGTCACGATAGACGGTTTAGCTGATCGACACGACTAGGAGCTCTAGTAGATCGTCGTCCGAGCGGTTGGATAAACTAATCAAATCCTTATTCAGAAGTGATGGTCCATATTCATCCAGCATGTACTGGTATGTGATTGCCAACAACGTTTGCCTCACATTATGAATATCCGTAGTCCAAGCCTTTCCACGTCCAAGGATGTGTACTGTTCGTGGGCTCTACTAAGAGAAATCGACTTCAGTGCCCTTGTCTGTATGCTGGGGGCTGATCAGAATTATTTTGACAGGACAGGAGGAGGACTGTGCAAATGAGTGAAATGAATTCAAGTCGTAGGAGTTCAGTAGTTACATGATTCTGTAGGTTTTCTTTACGAATCCATAGCCATTTTTCAGTGAATATAGCTTTTATGCACTTATTTTCTCTCCACTAATTTTGGGCAATGTTAAGTGGACTGGTAACACCAATGGCATGTACCGTCATAGCCTTTAAAACCAAGGACAATGCTTGAGTGGATTATGTCGGTATTGTTTGTGTACAGAAAATTTTCCCACTATAAGATATGCGCCATACTGACAAGCTGAAGCAAATCATTTACTATGAAAGAGAGAATGGGGCCCATTCTGGTGACTGATAATAGATATGGACAGCATGGAGCTAGAGCTAGAGATCCAAAAGAAAAACCGATCGCATTAGGTGACAAAGACGATATATGGGTTGCCGTTGTAACAAGCGATGGTATAATTGAGCCATGATGTCATCATGAGTCATCGTATCGGTGGTTGAAATTGCCATTGTAAACCACCCGCGCCGTAGAACAGATTCGCTCTCTATCATTTCGTCGAACTAGTAGGCACAGAATCTCACCTGATTTCAGCTGTAATTAACATGGAAATTTTAGCCGAATTTCATGCTTAACAAGCACGGTATTCTGTAACCAGGCGACCCTGGGCGTGACATATCAAGTAAGTTTTTGACTGATATTAATCGCACAATTTACTATAAGGAGAGGAAAACGCAAGGTTTCACCGGAACACCTGACTTATTTTTGACCAAAAAACCACGAGCTTGCGTGCTTGAGTAGCCTTGTGCTGAGATCAAGTGAGTAGTGTCATGTGTTGAATTAGGTTTCCGCATGAATAACCATGGGATTCGTAACGTTTGAGCCATTCCTTATGGGTTTCGTACACTCATATTGCAACCGTTTCAGTCCTGCCAGATAAACTAGGTGATTCTGTAAGCGAAATTTGATCCGTGCTGTGACGCATAGAACACTTTGCACGCCATGTATGCGTATACATCACCATCTGTATATCACAAACTACGTTCGGCATGGCATCGAAATGGCTATCCATGGGATCTTGTGAACGAAGACTGGATATCAGTCCACCACAGGCTGCAGCTGAAATGGCCAGTAACAACCGGTCTAAATAACCTTGACATTCAGACGGGATATCAAAATTGAGCTGATTAGTCGCAGGATGTCCACAACTATCGGCAAAAAGTGCAGTACTACTCGACTAATCCTATGACTCTGATTTACCTTCGTTTCCCTTTGATGGTTTGAAAAATTATTATCCATCATCTGTGGTTGTCAAGCTGGTTGTGTTGGAACAAGTTCGCAGCTTTTTGCGACAAAATGTTCATGAATCATCCAAAATGGCCTTGTCGAAAGATATAGAAAAAAATTCATTGAACCACCCAAACAATAGTACATTTACTCAGCATCTTCTCCTAGGTCCTTTAAACTTTGTCTCACCTTACCGAGGTTCGGGCATCATAAAAGGTTCAACGAAGTTCGACCCTATATTGACCACTCTATCCGTGCTGGTAAAAATGTGTTCACACAGTGCAACTTCTCTGTTCATCCCCGCGGTAACTTTAATGCATATATATATTGTTATCTAGTTGATCTCATTGGTTTTTCTTCTTCTGTCTCGTGAGTTCAATTTGATCGCCCAATAGCATTAGCCAATGATACAGGGAAGTGTTCGAAATCTACGGCGGAATACGACAAGTTTCGTTAGGTCCACAAACTATTTTTTACCTATCCAACTACTATATTGAAAGGATTTTTCTCCCAATACACAAAGAACGCTCGTGATTGGTGAACTCTAAAGGGCAAAGAATTTTGCGGATAGAGCCAGTGAACTTTGTTGAGGTATTCCATTTTTTGAAAACATACCTACCATTAGAAATTAAGGACCGTTCACCTGAATGTTCTGAGCCGCCTATGAACCGCAGTCTAATTCGAAAAATCCAAAGACATGTGACAGCTCAGACATTCACGTCCATGTGAAACTGAGTTGCAAATGAAATTATTCCGGAAAAATGTAGTATGTAGTAGAGATGTTTTTTAATGTGTCTTTTATAATATTGTAGCCTAGTTGTTTTCACAGGTAATGACGTTACACAGTCAACTGTGGCATGTCTGCGGTAGTCATTTCAACCCGCGTTAACCCCTCTTCCCGCACTGTTTCAGGCTAGAGAGATGCCAGCTGGGAAACATATAAGGATATTCCACTTTTGCACGATGCATTTTCGATCAAGCTTGATTTTGTACACGGTTCTAATTGTACAATGCTTTTGAAGATATGGAGTTAAGCCATAAAAATCATCTGGTTGTTCCTCTCGCGAGGCTAGACGTCAGTGCACTAAGACAAACTCTCCTACCGGAGGACAGGTGAGCTCTCATCCACAAAGCACTCTGTAAGATGGCTAGCAGGTCGTTATCCATGCATTTCTGTAGCCTCCATGGATGACTGAGTGTGCATAGACCAAGAGCGTCTAGTAGGAATAGGATAGACTGATCCATATTTCCATCCGATCCGGAGGTATTGCACAGATCACTTTCCGACTCAGATGAAATATAAAGCACCACAACCGGAATGCGTGGTGCAACCTTTCTAAGCGCAGCTTTGAGTTCATAATGGGAGTAAATAAGATGGGTGTTGGGGACTTTACTTTCCACAGCATAGATCAGTCCATTAATAGTCTTCATGACAGGATCAAGTTCCTCACGAAACTCAAGCTCAAACAGCCTTCGCTCACCCGTTGCTGGAGCTCTTGGTTGAAGAAACAAACGACTTGTTAGAATACGACGGAGTTCATCCTTATTTTCATTGTGACGCTCGTTCATATCGGCATACAACAGCACTAGATCGAAAATCAAGTCCTTTGGTTGATTTTTGTCTTCCACTCTAGACCCAACTGACAGTGCATCCAGTGCGTCCTCCACATATGGTGACCTCGCCGAGTGGTGTTTTGAACGACGGTGTCGGTATACATGAGTTCGTTTTGCACTTACCCTTGGTGAAGCTCCGTCATCAGATTGGAAGTCATCGGCAATAATAGGCGGATAAGCTTCCTGTGGTCGCATCGAGGTGTCTAGAACATTGGCTTGCGCATATCCATGGGCACGTAGACTTAGTCCACCTCCATACCCTAAACGCCCAGGAAATATTTGAAGCAACTCAAACGGTCCAACACGTCCATTCAAAAGGCGGGCGAATAAATTAGTAGACAAGTTTCGATCCAGCCCAGAACCAAGGACAGCAAATCGATATTCCTGGTTTAGGCTACCTTGCACGCCTCCGGTACTCCGATGCAATAAGTTGCGTTCATCCTCATTCCACCAGTGTGGTATGAATCGTGGAAGAATAGCGGACTTGAACGCATATGCTCCGGGAATGGAGGATTCGGGTCCCGTTACGTAGGATTGTTTTACCAAACTCAAGGGCACATACTTCTGGAAGCGAAAATAGAAGGATTGAGGATCGCGTTCATACAGCCCCAGTAATTTTTTATCAATTGCATATGGCTGGTTGCACACAACAACGGACCATTTTGTTTGAACAAGTTTTGTCAGCTTTCTACTCCACAGCACGTTATCGGAGGCCAGAATATTCCATTGGCGACAGACTAATGCACAACTCCGCAGGTCTTCACAACTTAAAAACTGGAAAATTCGAAATAGTACTTCCGAGGGAAGTTTATCCATCTGATTGGAATGCCAAGCCTCGGTTTTGTGGTTTGTATTTTCAAAATCAGGTTTCCATTGACATTGTCTTTCTAACGTTGAAATGCTCGAGGTCCGCCTCCAAATATTCTATTTTGATTGGAACCCACAGTCAACCGTGTGCGAGACAAGCAGTAGAACTGGTCAGCTGATTGCATGTGTGAGTGTTATGTGAATGGTTTGAATGCCAGAATTCCAGAACGTGCGAGGCTTTGATGCAGAGTATCTATTCAGAGTCAGTCACCTGATATGCCTAGCTCGTTCATGTCGGTAAAAGCGTATTGAGTTATACGGGCAGGTTTTACTGCTAGTAATTTAAATTGTGGAGTATCTCAACTGATCGGCTTTGAGTAGCAAACTAGATTTTAGGCTTATTCTAGCAGGAGTTGAGGTACGCAAGTAAAAAAATGATAGATTCTGCCGTTTTCAGTGTGAAAGGAATGACCAACTTTGGATCGATAGTATGCGCACACAAATATCCGACAGGAGAGCAAAATATGCGATAATCTTGAGGCTACAAAGCATAGGTTAGGACAGCCTATTCTGTCCCTCATAACCACATAAGTAGAGTACTTTGATGTAGCTGGGCCAATGACCATCTGTTTCTTTTAAACAACATCCAGCACATTTACTCCAATCACGTCCATTTGGGTGAATTGCCAGACATGAATCGGATCAGTACTGATCTCATTTGAGGATTAAATGTCATGCATGTGAAGATGGAGGACGTATGCGCCTTCGGAATTCACACACTTGTGTCTGTTATGTTGGATGATTAAATGTGTGTCTACACCAGGACCATCAAACTGTTAACGCTGAAAAAAACTTTTCTTCCAATTGGAAGGTGCCCATCTTCAAAACTTGCGAGCACAATCCAGTATTGTTCAATCAAGATATGTCTTCTTGGAATACCACACACCATTCTTTGACAGACATGCTCTTTTTTCACAAGCCTATGGATAATCAACGTTCTATTCTAAACCTCCTGTGTTTCTTGCAGTATTCTGAAGTCTGTATTTAAGATGCACGTATTAAAGGTGTTCAGTCGGAAGCACAATACTAATTTCTTGTGGAAAGCCTCTGAAGTGATCTTTCTGAACCAACATTCGTTGCTGCTCAACCGAAGATAAAACTCACTCTGGAGGCTTGTGGAAAACATAAATTAACAATAGAATAAGATCCATAACTACCGGCAACTCGTGATATACCTCACGGACGTATGGGAGTAGCAAGTGAACAGAAGGTCTCAACCACATCGCTTAATATTCACATGAGTTTCGCTGAACCAGATTTCTAGTATGGTAACTTCCTGTCGATATTTTTCTCAGTGTAAACTAAGACCTGCAACCATGGCACATAAGCTTAAGCATGGATCTGTAGCCCAAGCATGGGGACATCGACGATTTGGAATTGTTGAACTGAATAGATATATGAAATCTATGCAAACTAGCCGATTCGCCCTAACCGAATCAATCATTATGAAGCCTCAACAGGTTGACTTTGGATCCCAGACCTGTGGTAATTTGATGCAATCAATCCAGATAAACAACGTACGCAAAGACCTGTGAGACTCCCACACAGAAAGTGAACGATCGAGCCAGTTGATGCTGTGGAAAACTATCTTAGTGTTAGTAGGCATCACAGGTAAGATTCAACAAAATGGTGACATAAGTTATTCCCGAAAAGATGCCCCCATTGAAGAACGAAGGAAGCACTTTTGATACCAGCGTGTTTTTCCAAGCTGCGAAATGACTCGCGGTATCCATCTAAATTTTTGCCCTATAAGGGAAGTGGCAAATGCAAAAAGTTTTTTATTGAATTGCACCGCCATTTACTACCTGCGACAAATGTCTCTTCTCCCCAGTTTATTCACTTGCTGCAGCGACAAGCTGCAACATAAGGCAATACGTACGACTAACTTGTAACACTTGTTTGTGTAAAGCGTCGTAACTTATACATTCGCCAGTGAAAGCACATTTCAGGGCAATGAATTATTCAACCTTTAAAGCTATGAACCCACTGGGGACGTGTTTCTCTTGAATGACAAATCTCTTGGTAATGTACCTTTAAATTTTCGGTATATATATATGTTTAGTTCCCGCTTGCGACTCCAAAAACTGTTTTGGGGTTCTGAGGATCAATTTCTTCAAATGACTAGATAAATTCACGTATGAGTTGAAATCAGAAACTGTAGAAGAGAGAACTGGGTGACTTTGCTGTTTTACAGGCCGTCCGTCTTTTCTCATCTTCAATTAGTCTAACAGTAAATTTGAAAAATAGTAGTCGTTCAGCTGTGACATCTTTTCGGTGCCTATCTACTATGACACCCGAAGTAAGTGAGACATTGTTAAGTTGCCCAGGCCTAGACAGGAGCAGTCGAGACGAGGTTGGGTTAGAGCCACTAACTTTCCGGTAAGTTCGCGCCTTAGCTAATGAGCTGTAAGGTTCAGGGAGTCGGCCTAATGGCTAGTCTGCCACAAACATCCGAAATGACAGTATGAACGACACTGACACCACACGTTCAGTGTCTCCAGCCAATTCATGTGTCATATCTTCCCAATCGTAACTAGAACAACCTTCCCGGAGACGTTTTGGAACACCCACCGGTCCTTTCTTTTGCCATTTGAAATGCGAGCTCTCTTAGGTTTCAGCATGGTCAAAAAGTAGACACTAATAAATTGGTAACTGTGCTTTCAGACTCGATTTAAAGAGTTTTCGAGGAAGTAAAAGAAACGGATGTCGGGGGCGAGAAGTGAAACTAGCAAGAATACATGTTATCATAAACAGGTGAAAATCCAGCTGCGAGCAAGCAGCAAAAACCTGAGGGAGAAAGATTTCTGTCGGGTGCTAGGATGGTCGCTGTCATTACTGATACCGTTCTGTAGTGCGAATGCCTATTGAAATTGCCTCAAACAGACATACACAAAACCTGGACTGGAATATTTGTAGATTTAAATATTTCTATGAGGCTTCTTTGTGGTTGTAAGGGAATTTTCTATTCACGTAACGCATCTAACTAAAAAGCGCTTAACTAAATAAGGTGGGCGGACCTTCATGAAACACTGTTGCTGTGAAAATAAGGGTTACTTCCAAGAGGAATACTGATAAGTTCCGAGGTATTGTAAGTCCAAATGCAACCATGACCCTTCTTTTGAACCGGAGACTTGTGTTGCAGCTGGTAAAAAGGGAGACGGAGGTGAATACCCTGATAACGGTAGGCTCTGGTACTATGGGTGTGACTCGCCTTCCATGGATGATCTGCATTAGTCCTCTTCTGAATGGCTAGAGACTGCAATATATGACAACTAATCAATGTCGTCTGACGTTAATTTTGCCCGTTTTTACACAGATTGCTTGAATGTGTGTCTAAACGTGAAATACCTCCATGATTATGTTTATTCCCTATCAAACAACAAGCCAAGTTCAAAATATTGTGAATTTTCGAAGAACATACAAATTTGGTGGAAGATCCAAATTCAGATCCAATAATAATTTGCACGCTATGTGAATAGGCTTCTTCGCTGGATTCACCGTTATGTAGTATACACAAAATGGTAAATCGGACAAAATTGAGTTTGAGGGCCGTAAAGTTCAGAATGCAGGCGCTTTTGTTGAGCTGTATGGAAAGACGTTTGGTTTAAATTGTAAATTCATAGGGTGCACAGTGTTGAAACTCAGTTAGTCAAAGCAAATGATGTTGATACTGATAATAGTGGTGGTGCTCTTTCTCGTAGCCACATAATCCCTTGAATAACCGCTTTAATATCATTGCTGGCACATTTCTGCAGCCGCCACGGATTCTCCAGTTCAAACAGTCGGAGTCCTGAGATAGGTAGTAACAAAGAACCCCTCCATGAAACAGTATAGTTGGCACCACTGTAACTATCCCGATTTGGCAGTTCAACATTGTTCAAGTTGGAAAGCGAGTTTTTCCGAACCTGGGGTGCAAATGGTTTGAAGCTTATATCCTCTTTAGGCATGATGTACAGAATGAATAAAGGTATTCGTTTGGCGATTTCTTCCGGTAGTCCCCGGAGTACGGCTCGCAATTCATTGTATAAACATGCGCTTTCCTTCATATCATCGCGAGCATCAAGAGCATAGATTATTCCGTTCAGTGTACGCAGAATATTTGACATGTTATCCGTGACACTTAATGATTCAAGTGCTTCCATGTCACTCATTGGGTCGTCCGAACTGGGATGTCGAAATATCCTGCTGGACAGGATCCGTTCTAACTGGGTTTTAAATCGTTGACTCAAATGTCCTCTAAGTGAGTAGATGTAGTGCAAATCAAACACAAAGTCTTCATGAAGGTGCGCGAGAGTATCCGAGCCACTGTGGGTATTTGCATTGGTGGATACAGTCTGACTGCTTGTTTCAGGAAGTGTCAGGACCTTACGGGTACTCATGCGGTGACCAAGTCTTGGACTGGTTTTGTAACAGCTAGTTCCACTGTTGTCACCCGTGCTTTTCTTTGAGGCTGACTGGGTTTGAATCGAAGAATCGTAGGCAGCCAACTGGGCTTGCGCATATAGTCGTAATGTCAGACCAGCTCCAAAGCCCATACGTCCAGGAATCATGTTTACCGGTTCGAAAGATTTTGTCCTTGTATCCACTAGTTTGCTAAAAAGTCTGTTGGTCGCCCGTTGGTCGAATCCCGGACCGAATACGGCAAACCGATATAGAGATCCTGTATTACGATTTTGTTGTCGTGATATGTTAATGGATAGTCTGCAGATGAACCGATTCCACCATTTGGATATGGCTTCTTTCAGTGACTGCCTTGCTGATTGCAATGCTCCAGTCTCTGGCAGTATGTTTTCCATTGAGTGCATTGTCCGTGTTTGATGATCATCCAGCATATGCACAGGGACATACTTGGACAAAAATACGTAGATTTGAGAGGGATGAATTACATTCAGGTCGGAAAAATCTGGAACCTCCTTTGGTTTCTCCTCACAACCTACTACAAACCACCGGTTGCCAAAAAGGTGACAAAGCTTCGTCTGCCAAAGAAATCCGTCTGAAGCAATGTATTCCCAAGAACGACTGACGTTAATGCAACTCAGTAAATCACCAGCACTCAAGTAGCTGAAAATCCGCAGTAGTATTTCGTTTGGAAGATCTTCCATGCTGACATTTTTCTGGTGGTCACCAAGCGACCCATGCGTAGTGGCATTGTTCCTTATTGCTATATCCATTTGCTAGGTTTTGTGTTGGCTTTGTTCATTTGGAAACATCTTCACCCACATAGAGTTCTGATATGAGCTAACATTACACTGGGCGCACTAGAGCAGCTTATCTGTGTTGGCAAAGTCGAGATTAACAAAATCACGTGACTGCTGCTCTACGGCCTATAGTTTTATAGTGCTTCAAACTATTTATTGACTGTCAGGCTTGCTTGACGCTTATTGGTGGAGTTCAGTGAAATCAATACGGTGAACAGAGCATACGTTGAGAGCAAGCATAAGGCGTGTTTAGAATTGCATTTGTTGTGATTTCACCGAGTAACTCGAATTCCCTCCATGAATTTCCTCCTTCGTGCATCCAAGCCGACAAAAACGCGTCATCAGTTGAGATCAGTTGAGCTAAAGTGTCCTGCATTCTTTGCGAGCGGTACTGGCAATTTAATATAAGTATCATTTTTAGCAATGATTTCGAGTGAGGTTGGAAGTAACAGACTCTACTTGGGATCCATCTTGAAAATCTCCCAAAATTCAATCAACTGGTAGTTTCTGGGTCAAAAGCCGTGCTCCATTCTATAGAATAACTTGATAAAGATTTTCTCTATGGAACGATATGGATGAACTCCCCCTCGAAAGCAACGTTGTGATCAACCACTCCTAAAAGAATGAATTTACTGTTTGCTGGAACAACTGTCTTGATTTAGTATAATTTTATCAGCTTCAGATGGCCACTTTGCAAGAAAATGGTTCTCAGGAACTTGGTATTTTTATCTCTAATTATGCATAAGGTGATTAAAGTTAATTAAACTTAATAGTCTTGCCAATCCGTTTATTGGTTATTGAAAACCGTAAGTTCCAAACAGCTGGCCACATTCACAGACGTCGATCTAAAATGCTGAATATATCTTCTTAAAACGGAAATATATTAAGTAAGTTCTTACTATAATCGGAGTCTCACTTACCGATTTCTGATGTAGATTCCGATGAAAATCCTCTAAACGAATTGTGGAGGAATTTCACCGGAACTTTGGGACGAACGCCCTATGGACCACCATCCTATTTACTACTATTATCGTTTGTTTCGTTTATTTTCGAAGAACGTGGCCACAAACGTAAAAAGTAAATGCAAACGATGTGTGTGGAAGGGTACAGGAGAACAGATAAAAAGGGAAAAGTGTCTCATTCGAAGTCATGCTATCAACAGTTCCCAACGTAAATAAAATGTTTGGAATGGAAACGCGTTTCAGACCCAACAATCGAGGGAAGGAAAAACAACACGGAATGCTCTTCAGAGTGCGGCAATCGCTTGCACAGTCAAGACTCTCACGTCAAACAAAAATTGTCCGTCAAACTGGGTCTAGTGTAAGGTTCAATGGCAAAAATGTGCACTCGACACCATGTACCAGGCATAAAAGCTTCGTAAACACGAGACACTGACTGTGATTTTAGGAAGCATCAGCCCAATAACAGCCTTGGCGGATTGAGGAAAATAGACCCCACCATAAAAATTATCATCGGTTGGTGGACCAAAAAGTCGATAACACAACAGATTGCAGCTAGGGCTGAGATTACGGCGAGGGAATATTCATCAGCAGCATACTCCTGCTTCTTTTTATTCCACAGTTATTCCGTGCCCATCCGAGTGTATTCTTACGTCTATCATAGTTGCTCGACGCTCCAGAATAGAAATTAAGTCAGGTTTGATGAAGAACTTCGAAGTAGGTGCACTCAACTCCTCGAAGACGGTGTATCCCAGACGACGGAGACCTTTTGCAAGTTCCCTTGCAACCCGATTATGACGAGCATATCTAGCATTTTGTGTGATTCACAGGACTACAAAATATGTACTAAACGCTCCAGTCGGCCACAGTCTCCACGACAAAAGATCGTCTGGCCACCATGACCACACCCAACGTTTCCAACTTTCGTCCTTAGCAGGTTGCATCGGAGCTGGATAACGCACGGAAATATCCGAGGAAACACTCCATCCAGAAATACAAGCTATCAGAACGAAAGAGGTGAAGAGACCAATTCTTGTAAACCTTAACCATTCAAACTGTTGTGCCTCAAGTAGCCACCAGCTCCTCCTTGGTATACACCACTGACTCAGATAGGAAGGCTGAGATTCCGGACAATCTTGCCAACTGTGGAATCGTTGATCACATTGCGTAGTACTTGGCACCGGGTGGAAGGGAAATTTTCCATACGCGCTCTCCGCTGTATCGCCATTGTTGGTTACCTAACCAGATACCAAGCAGTGGCTTTAGGATGTTGATTAGTAGGTATCAGTTCTCGCTTTTGAAAACCTGTCTGCATCTAAAAATTTTCTCGCATTTACTCAGTTGAATAACTTTCATCTTTCTGACTTTTCACTCACTGCACAGCCTACGCAATATTTAGCAGATGTTTCATAGTTCCATGGCTTGCGCGTCTGACTGCATGGCTTTTTTCCTTCATTCTCCTGCTAACTCTCATAATGGATCATGGGTTGGTGTTGACTATTGTATGTATGCAAGTGTGGTTGTTCATCCGCTTTCCTGGTGTCAAAGCCAAACATATTATCTGGAATTCCCGCAGGAGAAAAATTGTTTTTACTATATTCAGAATTTGCAGACGATATAGACTTTATAGATTTTTATAGGCTTGTCTGAAAGAACTAAAATAGAAACACCAGTCTTGTAGTTGACATGTAAGCCGTGAGTGTTGAATTTCAGTTCACCAGTTCTCTATCACGAAAACGCAAGTATCCCATACACAAAAAAAGATAGGATCAATTAACCAGAAATATATGAGAGTTGTGTTTTTATATGACCTACGGCACTTCAAATTAAGGAGAAGAATTCTGACCGCTTAGTTCACAAGGTGATAGTTGATTCAAATAAATGAACCTTCGCAATTTCTGAAAGGTGGAGCAAGACTACTTACCACTTCTTATGTGTTCGGAGGTTAATGCGACTGGGTAAACTCAGTTACGAAACATTCATCTGAATTATTGAATCACTACTCCTTAGCCGTTGAGTTCACCTAAGACTAATCGTGGCTGGTTAGAAAGATAGTTTAGAACTAGCCAACTCGCTTGTAACATGCTCCGAACGACGGGCTACAACCTCCAAATATTTCCCCCCCCCCACAAACATGCCACACAGGCCTGATTTACATTTTGTACCGAGTTCGACATTTTTGTTTGTTTCAATGTGAGCAAGCTAAATAATTTGCTTTCACTTCAGCTACAACGACGCAGGAAGTAAGCATGCAATCAGTCGTCATATATGTAGTGCAACTAGTCTATCCCATCTTGCTATATCTGTAGATATAACGTCTCAGTCTGATGAAACTCACTGGTTGACGCTGATTCTATAAATGAGATGCAAAGGTGCTCTTGGTACAATATTTCCGCTGGGATAATAGGTATTCAAGCAGAGAAAGGCTGTTGGAGACCCAGGGACTATGCCTACCTGAATGACACCAATCAGCGTAAAATCTATGCGTATGCGATTTAAAAATCGTGGCTGGAATATACCAAACTCTCACTGTATGGCCTAGTCTTGCTACATCCACTTTGAAACAGGGTATCCTCGATGAGGCCTCAGGAAAATACTGGTAACATATAGACTCACCCATTTACCTTTAAGAAAAATGGATTGTGCACAGGTCTAAATGAAGGCAATTTAGACAGATTCGCATAAAACCCTGAAACTGGTCCGCAGAGTAGACTATAATGTAGTAGAATACTTCAAGAGAATGGTTAGCGTGTAGCGATGACCCAAAAAGGCACGGAGGATATAAACGACAGTAACAAAACTGTTGTGCTTGATATACAGTAAGAGTACCATATCGGGGAAGAAAGGTGTATTCAAGCAAACCTGGGTCCAGCGTTAACTTGAGAAAATATAAAGGATATAAAGCACCACTATGTAAAATATAGCCATCCCGCATTCATTCTGGTTTCATAAGATCAAAATAAAGTCAAAATTTACATGATTGTACACCTGTAAAACAGAGGCCAATGTGTTTGTACAAGGTAGGCGGATTCCTGTTCCAAACGTATCGGAAACTTTTTTTGACAGGTTACATTTGAAAACTGTTATCTTGTTCATTGACTACTGTATTCCAATAGCCTGCCTTTTGGATGGTAAAATTTGTAGTCTAAGGTATTATATCAAGATCTTATTAGCAATTTCGAGCCTGTATATATTCTGCACCTATTAATTTCTCTCACCATTCTGGTTCCCGCTGCTTCATACGTATTTGCACCGCTACTACTATTTGGATACTGTTAATTCGGATATTGTGTTTCGAATAGTGTAGATAAGACCAACTGCACGGTCTATGTTGAAAAGGTCTCAAATTTTTTGTTCTCTGTGTGTTATCCCTTCCCATAACCGATTAGATCACCTACAAGGTTTATAACGAGATTTATGAGTCGGGTGCAGAATTTAAACCACCCTCAGAGGGTTTGTGAAATATGATAATACGTAAGAGTTTGGTTAATTATGGGAATCGCAACTAGATGGCTGGTTTCATTTTTATTTGAACTACAAAACGCACCACACAGTTGACTTAGAAACCGACCGCAGTATATCAGCAACCCTTAGTACACTAGGTAAGGACATTTAACTTCGTATAACTTCGGAAAGATCAAGGAGTTCTGGACGAGCATGAAATCTACACATTCAGGCGATCGGAACAATCCCGAAAGGGAGTGACTTTATGGAAATATTTTATGCTACTGTAACTTGAGCAGTAGCCAATTCTGTACAAATTTAGTGTTGCGACAAGCCATAGTAGGACCCAATTGATTTTTCAACGCTTTATTGAATGGATTATGCTTCACTGCTTTCGTACTTCTCCAGCGTATCCTTTTGAGATTTACTCTGGTAAAAATGCAGCTGGTGACACCTCATGTGGCTCGGTGCCTTCACTGGGTGTTTTAATGAGGACAAGCT